TTTTGAAACCAAAGAATGAAAATTTCACAGCACTTAAAGACATCAACATATTCTAAAATGTTCTAATATTTCTGAGAATCATAGAAGGGCTAAGGGACAGACAACAGAAATGAGCACAGATTTAAATTTTTTAAAGAAAAAAAAAGATTAAATGGAGATATGAAATAAACAAACCTGAGGTAAATGAGGAAACAATAACAAAATCATGAGTACAGTAGGAACACTTAAAATTTATCATTTGGGAAAAAGCCAATTACCAGTAGCTGCCATATGTATGGGACAAGTACTGTACTTGAGGGTCAAGGAAATGAAGATCAAGACAAATGATTGCTGAAAGGTAGGAAGGGTTACCAGAAGTTCACTATAAGTAACATGTGGGGAGAAAAGAGGTGCTGCCACAGAGCACAATTTAATCTAATGTTATGTACTCATTCTATGTGAGTGCTAATTTAAGAATGAGCGCCAAGTTTATAGCATTACTGCAGAGCATTGTTACTTTTCTAATTAAAAAGTACTGTACTTCACTTTTACTTGTACATCTGTGGGAGTTCAATAGCTCTAATTTTGGAGGCAGCAGTTTTAGGGAGCAAAGCTTTGGAAGACTTTCTATTAGTATACTGAAATTTAACTTATTTATCTCCCTTTTGGTAATTGTTTATAGTTAGGAGTCCATGTGTATAGTGCTTCAAAAAAGATTATGTTTATGTCTATTGGCACCTCCTGAAATTGAGAATATTTTGTCAGAGTGACTTTCCAGAGAAATTGTAGCTATTTCTGCTCCTGAGAATGAAAGGACACATTTTACTACCCCAACCTGCCAGCACCGAATGTTATAAATTGTTTTAACTGTTGCCAATCCAATGAAGAAAAATTGTTTTTTGTTTGATTTGTGTCCCTAAAGCAAGGTAGTGAGGTTGAGTTCATTTTTTAATGTCTTATTAATCTTTTGATAAACTACTTGTTCATTTCTCTGCAAATTTTTATTTTTGAAAGAATCAAATTATGAAGAGATTGACACCAGAGTTCTGGTGTCATAAATTTTATAAACATTTTCTTATAGCACCTCATTTATCTTGTGATGTTTTATGGTGATTTTTGTCATACAGATAATTTTAACTTCAATTATAGGCATTTGATTTTATTTTATGGCTTATAGGAGTCCTGTCTTATCTAAGAAAGCTCTTCCATATTAAAGTCATAATTAATCTTCTAATCTCTCTCTTGCTATCCAATATACATATATATATACTTTATATTTAAATTTTTACCACTCCTAGGATTTTATTTTGGTCAATAGTACAGGATACAGGCCTAAATTTGCATTTTTCATTTAAATATCCAATTATTTTCAGTTTTGATCAATTTATAAATGAAAGTATCCTATTCCTGAAACTGAAATGCCACCTTTACAACATATTAATATTCTTTATTAGTTGAATTTTTCTGGATTCTCTATGTGCTTTTCTCTTGTCTTTTTTTTTTTCCTATTCTTTTATTCTTTGTAGTAACTTTGTGGTAAGTTTTACTACCTAGTATGATAAACTGTCTACTGCCAGATTTTGTTTACCTCCCCCCAATATTTTAACAATTCTTGTACATTGTTCTCTTTAGCAAGATTTCAATCACTAATATTCTTCAATTACATTTTTAAAATAACAGGTCTTGTATCTTTCTTTAACATTTATTCTAGGTACTTTATTGTCTTTGTCACTTATGTTGATTGTGCTAAGAACTTTCCAAAGTAGATTTAAGTAACTCTCTGCCAAAGCAGTTTAGTATTTGGTCATTGCATGTAAGCTGAATGGCTGGCTCTTGGTACTAAGAGTGGTTCGTCTTGTTTCCTGCTGCATTGTGTAGTAGTAAATAGTAAGAGGAGAGCAGGGCCATTAGCTATGATTCAAATATTTTGTGGATTCAGTTCTCAGCTAGTTGAGATTACTGAGGAGTTATCAAATATGATAAGTCAAATCCTTTGTTTTTTATTTCTTCAGTTTTTTGGCTTCATTTAAAATTTCATCAGCTATCAGAATGTGAGTATGATGGTCCGATTTGTTAAATACGCCTTGTAATGAAAGAAATTTCTAAATCTGTTTTTATTCCGCCTGCTTGATTTAGTTAATGGAAGTTTATTGGAGATCTTTGTTCATCACATGCTGTAACATTACTTTGCTATTGATTGTATTCAAAATCATCTACACATAACTGTGAGTGGGAGAAAAGTAAACAGTACAAATATCTGAATATAATAATCAGTTCACACCAGCCCTAGGCAACTTATACAATTAAGCCTGGGTAATCTTATGGGGAACAATGTGTGAATGACTTTGCAGAGTTCTCCACTACTGATGAGAAATAAATTCCACTTCATCTGATTGGTGGCTAGGCTGCTGGTTGATGATAGCTTTGTTGGCATTTTAGTGGAAGAAACTGAAGAATTCATCAAGTCCTACAAAAGAACCAGCCAAGAAATAGGCAACACATTTTTTTATAAACTTGTCTATGGAGTTGTATCGAGACAATCATATGTGTAGGCATATATACATACATTTACTGTTTTATATTTGGGGAGGCTTTTTAGGGCAATTTGAAACTATTTAACTTTGCTTTTGGGTCAACTTGAGAATTTAACTCCTGTGAGGAGTGAAACTTAACAGTAGGAAGGTGCCAAGAATTATGATAGACACAGGAAAATGTATGATCTAGTTTCTGCCTTGTGGTTGTTCTATATTGTTTTGTTTTGTTTGTTTGTTTTTTAGGCAGGGCCTAACTACGCAGTTCAGGCTGGCCTTGAATTCATTATGTAGCCCTGGCTGGCCTGGAACTTGCAGCAATCTCCGGCCTCGGCCTCCCAAGTGCTGGGATTACAGGTATGCATCACCACTCTTGGCTCTAGTTTCTACCTTTGGAGGAACTTCAAGGAGCTATATATTTAATGGGAACATATTATAAATGTGGACATTAAATAATACATTTCATGATGACACAATGTGCTGAAATCATTACTGTTTAATTGTTAAACAGATGAACACACACTACCCAAACATTATACTATTATTAAACCTGATTGTATATCCAGAATGTCAATTTCTAACGTCCATTAAAAGAAAATTGCAAAAGTAAATTTTTACTATTTAAAAATTTCAACTGGTTATAAAGAAAAAGTCTTCTATCTCTTCTTACCACTCCTATTTTCCAATTCCACTCTCAGAGAAAGCCATTCAGTCTATGAATCTTGAAATTTTTTAACCCAATATATATACACTTTAATAGGATACTATGGTAATTCTAAAGCTTTTTTCATTTCAGTACTTACTGATCTTTATTATTTTAGAGCCTGCAGTGTCAGTCTATCAGATCCTAAATTTTAACTTAAGCAGTCATTTACTTAATGGTAGACAAAGATCACTTTCTATTTCCCACTGTTAAAAACAGTGTAACAATTAATAAATAGCTCAAACCCTCCCTAGATCAGATTATCTCTAAGGTAAATTCCTAGAAGTCTAGCTGATCTTTCAAATTGTATTTTAAATTTTTTATCAGTACCTGTTTGTAACACCTGATATTACATTCCTTGTGGGGAGTTGGTACGTGTACATAACACATCTTCAAACTGTATTTTCGACAGGTGCTAGAGGAATGCTGTCATGGCTTGGTTTGAACTGATCACTTTAGGTAAATTAATGCTATTAGATGTGAGCATAATTACAGCCTGAAAGGATGAGTTCACTTTCTCCCTCCATCAGCCCACTGAAACCCTTGTCCAAACCTTTAGTTTCTTAAAGCTCCCAAACATATTCCTTCAGAAGCTTCCCACTTTTTGGATCAAAAATACATTGTTGTTGGTAAAGAATATAACTTACTGTCCCACGAATCTCACGGGAGTGTATGGTACTGGTTTCGTAAAATGATCCCTAATTTTCAATTTGTGGCTGGATTAGGGGCGATTGGTGCACTAGGCTTTTTGTTTTCCTTAAATAAGTAACGGAAAATCCCAGCACTCGGGAGGCTGAGGCAGGAGGATTGCTGTGAGTTCAAGACCAGTCTGAGCTACATAGCGAATTCCAGGTCAGTCTCAACTACATGGTGAGATCCTGTCTCAAAAAACCAAACCAAACCAAAACAAAACAAAAACCTCCTGTCAAATAAGTAATGGAAACAATGTTTTCAAGTCCTGACTCCCTGGCCTAGAACAAGGAGGGCCAGAAAAACCTGTGCTATTTGGAACTTGAATTTTGTTTTTCCATTCAAAATGCTGCTGCTGTTTACTCCCGGGCGAGGGAAGGGCGGAGTAAAAGTCTCCGGGCTGCTTTAAGCGCGCATATCCTCCACACTCCAGGAAGGTAAGGCAACTTCAGGCACATTTGTGTGGACCCTTTTGAGAGTTACCTGGAAGAAACAACCACCACGCCCCGGACCCCTCGGAGGACCTAAAAAAGGCAGAAAGACTGAACAAAAGTACAGCGAAGGGGACACTGAGGAGCCGGAGCCAGCGGCAGCCCCAGCCCAGCCGCAGCCCAGCACAGCCCCAGCACAGCCCCAGCACAGCCCAACACCGCCCCAGCCCCCAGTCCTACCCGCCAACCCCGCGTTGGAGGGGGCCGATCGCTCCTTCCGGGTTGCGAGCGGAAGTGGGCGAATTTGAATCCTGCCAGCCGTTGAGTGCGACGGCGCTTTGCGAGCAGCAAAAAGTGACAGGGTCGTCTTGCAGTTTAGGGCTCAGTGGGCCTCGGTGAGTAGGTGGGGACCGGCAAGAAACCGAGTATTTCAGAGCGAGAAACGGGACCGTCGGCTGGGATACCGGGTCTGGAGGCCGGACAGCCTAGCGAGGGCGCCGCGGCGCCTTTTGGGTGTCTGGCGCTGCGGCCTGGTGTGGAGACCGTGGGAAGTCGCAGGGGAGCTTCTCCCGGGCCAGGCTCCTGACCGTCTGGGGTATCGAGGGTGGCGAGGCCTGATCAAACCTTGTTCACTCGCTGTCTCTGTGAATTTTTCCCGTAGTCGCAGTGTCGTGTTTCTCCCTGTTCGTCTCGAATGTTGAAGCCTCTTGCGTAGAGGAATCTCGTGGCGGGCGCGTTACCACAGGTAACCGAATCTTCTTTATTAAAGATGGACGGTGGGGGAGGGCGCGGTTCCAACGCCGAGACTCTCTGGAAGCCTCGGAGGAGGCTTTATTATTACCCTGCACCTCAGGGGACTGACAGTCTTTGAAAAGCCTGGTGGGGATTTAAATGAAATCTGAGTACCTTTTGTATTTTAAACCCGGATATTTTTCTTTTCATTGTTGACATTTTTCAAACGCCGCAAAAATCCGAGACTCTTGCTCATTTAAACGGGCTATAATAACAGCGGCGATTCGCCGGCGTCTTAGTTTGCAAACAATAGGGATAAGGTTAGTTTTGCAGGCCTCCCTTTTCACCCTCTACACACATTGGCCGAAATGACTGGAGTCGTTTTGAAAGAACTGTATTCAAGAATCCATTCCCTCACGTTTTATTATTGTTTTGGGGGTTTGGGGGTGTGAGGGTTCATTTTTAATATTGGTCAAAGTTCAAACCATGTAATAAAGTCATATCTTTTCAAATACTTTTCATATGCATAAATACAAACTGAATACTTAAAGTGTTTAGAAGTTTTATAGCTTGCCTTACTGAAAAATGTCAGCTTCATTTTATGTTGCTTTATAAAAAAAATATTTTAAGCTTCTTTTAAGATTAAAGGACAATAATATTCAGAATAAAAACATTCTTTAATCTATTGCTAGCTCCTCCTCCACAACAAATGAACATTTTTTTATTTCTCAGGAAGAAAAGATTTAAAAATCAGTGTTTACAAACATTTAAATGCAAACATTTTTAATAAAATTGCAAAAAAGACATCGGCTCTCCTTTCCTAAGGATTGTATACAATCTGCTTGTATATGCCATCAGCAAGTGATAATCTATTGTAGATTCATTTCTACATCATGATTTATTACTTTTCCCTATCAAAATAAATGAGTTTCATATTTTGTTACACATACAGTAGGTTGAAGGTTTGTTAAATGCTGATTCTTATACTTCAAGTCTCATAGATTCTAATCGAGTAATCTGCCTATTAAATTGAAAGGTTAGAAAATTTTACCAGAGTTTTAAAAACACTGACTTGGTCTTTCCTAGAGAAGCATTGTAATATATTGTTAAGAACATTGAACTGGAGCCAGATTGCTTTTGGTTTGAGTAGTGTCTCTCACCTGCTAGTTAATATGTCCCTCTGTAAGCTATTTAAGCTGTCTGTGCTTCAGTTCTTAACTTTATAATGGGGAAAATACCTACCTTGTGGGATTATTGTGAGGATTAAATGAGTTAATGTATAAAGACTTTACAATACTGATGGTATATAGTGAATGATATATATGCCTCCTAGTATGTTGAGTAACATTGTACAAACAATCATTATACATTATCATTAATCTTCCCAATATCACCGAAGTAGTTATTTTCAGATAAGAAAACAGGTTAAGAGATTCAGTAATTTCATTCGCACACAACTAATAAAGTTCAACCAAAATCAGAAACTAGATAAAAGCTTGTGTCCTTTTTAAAAGTAATTCTTGCCTCTCCTTCCAAAGAATTGCTCCATAAAAAAATCTCTAATGACTTCACATTGTCTATACTGTATAATTCAAATCTCAGCTTCTTAAAGTCCTTCACAGTCTGTTTCCAAACCCTGCTTCCAAGCATGATGACAATATTCCAGCACTCTTATCTGACCTGCTGATATTCCATCATTACTAGTATAATTCTGCAAATCAGTTTCTCTGTTTTTTTATTCACACTTTTTCATTTGCTTTTTAATTTCCACTTAAGACTTTACCCAGATGGTTTCTAGACTTCCTGGACAGAGAGTGCTTCTTCCTCAATGCAAATCTGCTTATAAACATAGCACTAGATTGAGAGCTCTTATCCTTTTCATCTTTATGTTTGCATTGCTTAAAACAGTGAGTGCCTTTATATTCTAAAATTGTGTGCTCTTAATGAGTACTTGTTATTATAACAATTCAGTGCATTGTTTTGAGTTAATGACTGAAAAAAAAAAGAATCTTTTTTTTTCCTGAATTGATGCAATAAAATCCTGTGTAGTTGAATATTTTATTGATACATAGTTAATAAACTTCAAAAATATGGAAATATAAGTATTAAAATCATAAGCTCAGAAGATACTCAATTGAGAAAATTAAGGGCAATATTTGCTAGTTTTCATGTTATTCTAAATGCTTTACGTTTCCTCACTCAATTCTCACAACTATTTATTATTATCCTGATACTAACATGAAGATCGGTAGTACCAAAATACTAACTTTTTGTTGTTTCTTAATGAGACTTTTTCAAATAAATTTTTATTTTTATTGGTAATATTTGCAGTATATAAGGATTAATTTCCTCATAGGGAGTTGGTAAGGGTACATAATGGAAGAAGGGAGAAGAAGGAGATAGAAATAGAATTAAGTAACTTTGGTTATGTTTTGTTTCCTTTTTGAGACACAGTCTCCCTATTTAGTTCAGGCTGACCTTGAACTCACTATGTAGCACAGGTTGGCCTTGGACTCACTGTGATTCAGTCCTACTGCCTCAGCCTTCCACATGCTGTGATTATGCCCAGCTCAGTAACTTAAATATTTGGTTTCCTCTCTGTACAGTTTTTAAATTATTAGTGATATATTGTTATGTATTATTTAAAAAATAACTTTTCAGAGTGTAAGGGAATTAGACAAGAAAGTTTACTTTTCCTATTTGAACAGTTAAGACTCTAACCTCCTTGTTCACATTCCTTTCTTTAAAAACCTGCCCAATATTTTAGAGTCATCATTCTGAAAACTAGTGAATGAGGTTGATCTTAAAGAGCACATGATACTGATATCCCAGCTTTCTCCAGCCAAAGTAATATTTGAATTTGTGTAGTCCCCAACCCTGAGCCCACAGACTCAGAAGAACTGGGTCACACAGCAGACCAGCAAAGATTCATCTGTATTTGCCCCAGCTCCCCATTGCTAGCTGAGCTCAGCCTCCTCTCAGACTAGCAGGAGCATTAGATTCTGGGAGCATGAACCCTACTGTGAACTATGCATGTACGTATACATGTACATGGCTTGCATTCATTTCTGAATTATCCTAAAATACCACCCACCTCCTACCAATGGAAAAATTGTCTTCCATAAAGCTAGTGCCAGAAAGGTTGGAAATTGCTGGTCTAGACTATTCACATGATTTCTTGAATTTTTAGGTTAACATGCAAGGCTTCGGAAGCAAAACTGAAAAGGTGTTTTTATAGATTGGGGTAACACTGGAAACATAAACACTAATAATAGGCATAGGCAGCCAGTGTGTGGAGACAGAGGAATTTGCTTCCTGAGGACTAGTTTTATGTGTAAGTTAATATAAGCTTAACAACTTTATTGTTTTTTCTTTTAATATGAATATCTTTAACTTTTAAAAACCTATTTGATAATTTAATTTGTAAGCAATAAAATGCACCTAGTTTAAGGGTGTAGTTCAAAGAATTTCAGTAAATATATATATATATCAGTAAATATAAATATATATCACAACTTTTAAAACCTATGGATGGCTATTTTAGGTTGCTTACCATTTTTATGTATTAAAAATAAAGCTACTCCGGACAGTTGTGGACAATAGATATATGTCTTCATTTCTCTTGGCTTCATGTGTATATTTGACATAAAATAAGTGTACATTTGACATTTTTTGGTAAAATTCACATAAAATAACCATAGTAAATCACATTTAGTACATTTATAGTGTGCAACCATATCTATCTAGTTCAAAAACATTTTATCACCATGAAAGAAAACTCCACTTCATGGAAACCAAAATCTTCTGTCTCTACTAGATTTATCTATTCTGGATATTTTACATAAATGAGATTATATAATGTGGGGCATTTAATATCTATTTCCACTTAGAATAATATTTTTGAGATTCACTCATAACACACTGCATTTGGTCCTTTGTGTTTCTGAATTCTGTATCCGTGGATTCCAACCAACCAGATATTGAAAATATTTGGAAAATAACATGTTTATGTTTAACATATACAAACTTTTTCTTGTCATTCTATAAACAATGTAACATATTTACACAGTATTTATATTGTATTAGGTATTGTAAGTAATCTAGAAATGAAGTATGTGGGACGTTTAAGGTATGTTGTATGCAAATACTGTGCCACTTTAAATCGTACACTATAGTATTCAAAGATTTTGCTACCTGCCAGGTAGATAAGGAGGCCTGGAACCAATCTTCCCACAGATACTAATGGACAATTTTATTTCATTCTTTTTATTACCATATATTCTACTGTGTGTGTGTGTGTGTGTGTGTGTGTGTGTGTGTGTGTGTGTGTAGTACTGTGTGTGTACATATATATATATATCTTTTGTATATCCGTTGATCAGTTAATAGACAATTGTTTCAATCTATGTCTTTTTATTACCATATATTCTACTGTGTTTGTGTGTGTGTGTGTGTGTAGTACCAGGGAT